CACTGGCAGGTACCGCCTCGTCCCCAGGCAGCGAGGGGACGGGCAGTAGCGTTCCCCCAGGGTGGGCTCCCAGGGGGGACAAGAGACGGAGCACAGGCACTCACCCACTTGGCGATGGGGCAGCCCCGGGAGCTCTTCCCCTCCTTTCCCGTGTAGATGACCTTCTCGATGCGGATGGCCTTGCCCTTCTCGCCGTACCTGCCAGGGGACGGGCGTCAGCCCTGCTTGCCCCCTCCACGCTCATGAGTCCCCCCATCATCGGCCACTCACGAGCCCCCACTTGCCTCACAGGACCCCGCTCTCCCTCGCAGGGCCCCACTTGCCCTTGTGAGCCCCCGTTCACCTTCACGGGACCCCGCTCACCCTCATGGGACCCCATCCACCCTCCCAAGCTTCCCCTCACCTTGACAGCCCCCCAGGACTTACCGCTCCTCCATGAGCTCCCTGATGGATGCCACGGTGGGCCCCGAGCCCAGGTGAGTGTAATACGGCCCCTCGTCCTTCTCCACGATTTGCTCTGCAGAGGATCTGCAGAGGCAGGAGGGGGACACAGAGATTTCAGGGTTTGCACCTCCACCGGCTGCCCCGAAGGATGCCCAACCCTCAAATCGAGCACTTCTCCACCAAAAATCAAAGGTTCCTCGATGGCATTTCCCCCTAAGAGCATCGGGGAAGGGAAGTCGCAGTTAGGGGTTCGTTAAACAGCTCAGCGGCTCCTCTTCATTTTCTGCTCCCAGCTCTAAAACGTTGCTGGGGAACAAGGGGACAGGTGCTCAGACCCATACCCTTCGCAGACTCGAAAACCTCCCCGAGGGGCCACAGCCCCTCCGAGCATGCCAGCACCAACTGTGGCTCCATCCCAGCACAGGGGATTTGTGCCGGCTGCCCGAGCACGGTGCATTTTGATGAGCTCTGCTGAGAAGAAGCGATTAGCGGCGGCAGGCGATTCGGCACACAAACCCCACCGGCCCCCCTAGCCCTGGGCACCTGTCTGGCCCGGCTCGCTGGGACCGGCTGGCTGCTGCCAAAACCATCACGGGATGATTTGGAGACTGAAAACTGCTGCTGCCTGCTTTTAGGCTTGCCTGGAGGATTTGAGGATGCTCACGGGATGCCCTGAGCTGGCTGAACCCATGCAAGGACTGAGCTGCTGCGCAGGGGAGAGGCGGAAGGATGCTGGGGCTACGGGAGGAGGATGCTGGAGCTACAGCCCTGCAAGCAACACACCCCCAGCAGCAGCAAACCCCTTGGGGTTTTTAGGGCAGGAAGGTGCGGGCGTGGGAAGCACAGGGCGCTTTGGGCAACCGCGGCGGCACAGGGGTCAATCCCCAGCGCGCAGGGACGCTCGAATGCTGCCGGGTGGGACGCATCCGGCACTACGGCTGGGGCTGATCCCATCTTTCCATCCCCCTCTGCTCTCATCACCCTGATTTTCATTCCCGTCATGTCTAACTGGCTGGGCGCCAGCGCAAGGAGAAAGCCGGGCTCAGCTGGGCTGCAGCTGTCCAGACTGAGATCAATACGGGACACGCAGCGAAGGCTGATTTTATTACAGCGTCTAACAGCACAGGCACCTAATAAAGCACCAAGCCCCGACTCCTACTTAATTGCTTTCTCTCACAGCTTTTCCTTGAGAAAATGGAGAGAGGGGGGGGGGGGGGGGGGGGGAAATCCCCCCCTCTCCCAACCCCTAAACCACACTGCAAAAGAAAAAGCAACCCCAATCTTTTCCTGGCACTGCGGGGCTAAACTCCAAGATTGGTTCGAGCGGCTCCAGAAAAGCCTTTCACTCACTCGGTGCCATTTGGGCTAATTACCGCTGCCATTTACGAGCAAATAAATAAATAATCATAAGCCCCGCTAATAAAGTGTAGCTTGCACTTGGCCCAAGGCCACCTCTCCCAGGCACGGGGGTTCGTTTTTCCAGCTGGATGCCCCAAATCCTCACCCTGCTCTTCCCAAAGGAGAGCTCCAGCCTAAATTTTGGGGAGGGAAGATCCTGCTCCCAATGTTCGGATGGAGTTGGACCGCAGGGACCAGGTGGGAAATCTCTAGCGCTTGCTGCAAAGTCTAACAAATGCCAACACACACCAAAAAGAAAACACACAAAAAAACCCCAACCCCAAATCCAAGACTTTGGTGCCTTTTCAATGCATCCCAATGGATTGGCCACTGAACAACCCAGTGTCCTGGCAGTAAATATGGCTCTGGGCATAAGCACGCGTGCCGAGCCCAAGTTTGGATTACTCAAAACCAGCTCATTTGGCTTAAAACAGCAGG